GTAATGGGCTTAAAGTGCAGCAGGGGAGGTTTAGATTGGACATTAGGAAAAAATTCCTAACTGTCAGGGTGGTCAAATATTGGAATAAATTGCCAAGGGAGGTGGTGGAATCTCCCTCTCTGGAGATATTTAAGAACAGGTTAGATAGACATCTGTCAGGGATGGTGTAGATGGAGCGTGGTCCTGCCTTGAGGGCGGGGGGCTGGACTCGATGACCTCTTGAGGTCCCTTCCAGTCCTATTATTCTATGATTCTATGATTCTAAGATCAACACAGGGGATTAGGGGGAAAGGGAGGTTCAGGGCCCCTGAGCAGTCTCTCTCCAGGGCTCTGCTGCAGACAGATTACCAAGGAGCTCCCGTTGTCTGTGGAAGCCCATGTCCCAGCGTGTGCAACAGACTGGGTGAGCCGCTTGCTTGCCCATTTACACACCCTGCTCTCCCATCAGCAAGGAGAGAGGCAGCTCTCTGGGCAAAGACACTGGCTCAGCAGCTTCTGCTGGACGTGACCAGGCCCTGCATACTGGGCGAGTGCAGCGTGCTGCTGGCATCGTTGCAAAGAGAGACCGCAGGAGGGGGCTGAGCCCAGCCAGCCCCCTACGGCACATGCTTGTTTAGCTCCTTTGGACCAAACATGCAAAAGAAACTGTGAACAGAGCGGGGCCTTGTCGTATAGGGGGTTTCTAGGGCTCCGCTGAGAGGGTCAAATCAGAGTGAAGTGCTTAGAGACAGGGCTACTTACCATCCAAGCCTAGGGGGTCAGCCACTACCAGGCGCACCAAACCAGTCACCAAGAGCACTTCCGTTCCCCACGCTGGCTAGCAAGAAGTCATGCAAGCAATCCCCTTAGCCCAGCGGTTCCCAACCTTTCCCAGATGGGGGCCCATTTGGACAATTCAGGAAGACTTGGTGACCCAAGGCAATTCAAAAACGGGGGGGAGGAGGGAGGGCAGAGCCACCCGGGAAACACTTGGCGACCCTTTTGAAATGGAATGGCGACCCATATTTGGGTCCCGACCCATAGGTTGGGAAACCCTGCCTTACACACTCCAGTTCCCCTGTGCCTACACAGATGAGGGGTTAACAAACCAATCCCACCAACTCTGAACAGGTTCTCCCAGTGACAAAAGACCAGCCACAGTCCCAGGTCAATGTATATCTCAGATCTTCCCCAATCCTTTAGAATCTACAATCTAAGATTTCTTATACTACAGAGTTAGAAAGAAAGAAAGAAAGAAAGAAAGAAAGAAAGAAAGAAAGAAAGAAAGAAAGAAAGAAAGAAAGAAAGAAAGAAAGAAAGAAAGAAAGAAAGAAAGAAAGAAAGAAAGAAAGAAAGAAAGAAAGAAAGAAAGAAAGAAAGAAAGAAAGAAAGAAAGAAAGAAAGAAAGAAAGAAAGAAAGAAAGAAAGAAAGAAAGAAAGAAAGAAAGAAAGAAAGAAAGAAAGAAAGAAAGAAAGAAAGAAAGAAAGAAAGAAAGAAAGAAAGAAAGAAAGAAAGAAAGAAAGAAAGAAAGAAAGAAAGAAAGAAAGAAAGAAAGAAAGAAAGAAAGAAAGAAAGAAAGAAAGAAAGAAAGAAAGAAAGAAAGAAAGAAAGAAAGAAAGAAAGAAAGAAAGAAAGAAAGAAAGAAAGAAAGAAAGAAAGAAAGAAAGAAAGAAAGAAAGAAAGAAAGAAAGAAAGAAAGAAAGAAAGAAAGAAAGAAAGAAAGAAAGAAAGAAAGAAAGAAAGAAAGAAAGAAAGAAAGAAAGAAAGAAAGAAAGAAAGAAAGAAAGAAAGAAAGAAAGAAAGAAAGAAAGAAAGAAAGAAAGAAAGAAAGAAAGAAAGAAAGAAAGAAAGAAAGAAAGAAAGAAAGAAAGAAAGAAAGAAAGAAAGAAAGAAAGAAAGAAAGAAAGAAAGAAAGAAAGAAAGAAAGAAAGAAAGAAAGAAAGAAAGAAAGAAAGAAAGAAAGAAAGAAAGAAAGAAAGAAAGAAAGAAAGAAAGAAAGAAAGAAAGAAAGAAAGAAAGAAAGAAAGAAAGAAAGAAAGAAAGAAAGAAAGAAAGAAAGAAAGAAAGGAATTAAATTACATCCACCAATTGCAAGTCCTTGATACATGCCTCTGAGCAGAGAGCCAGCTACCTACCCTCAATGCCTTAAACAGCCCCCTACAGGTAACAGTTTGCCAGGCCCTGGGGTATACCCATATTTGGGTCCCGTGTCGACGGAACCATGTAAACTAGTTTACCCGACACAGTCAATGAAGTAAATAATCCCTGCTTCATTAAAATAAAAACAGCCGCCACATTGCACCAACAATCAGCTGATCCAGCACAGCGCAGCAGTCTAGACGCAGATCGGTTGACAAAGGCTTCCTTTGTCGACCGCTCCTGTAAACCTCGTTTCACGAAGCATAAGAGAGGTGTCGACAAAGGCTTCCCTTGTCAACCGATCCACGTCTAGACCGCGGCGCTGTGCCGGATCAGCTGATTGTTGGTGCAATGTGGCGGCTGTTTTTATTTTAATGAAGCAGGGATTATTTACTTCATTGACTGTGTCGGGTAAACTAGTTTACATAGCTTTGTCGACCGAGCCCTGTAGTCTAGACATACCCCTGGAGTGACTGACCAGACCATGGGCTGTGTTTCTCCTGTGTGAGATTGCAAGTGAAAGTTGGTGCCAGAATCTTTGCTGTTCTTTTTTGCCCCGTGTGTGTGTGAATGTCTTGTTTTGTTCAAAGAAAACAGAATGGATTCCAAGCACACCACCACCCACAGCAGCTCCAGCTACAGTCTACCTCAGCTAATTGCTTCTCTCTCCTTCCCAAAAGGATAAGGACAGTTAATACCATCAGAGATTGCCTCTACAAAAACTCTCTATGGCTACGTCTAGACTGGCATGATTTTCCAGAAATGCTTTTAACGGAAAAGTTTTCCATTAAAAGCATTTTCGGAAAAGAGCGTCTAGATTGACATGGACGCTTTTCCGCAAAAGCACTTTTTGCGGAAAAGCGTCCGTGGCCAATCTAGATGTGCTTTTGCGCAAAAAAGCCCTGACTGCCATTTTCGCGATAGGGGCTTTTTTGTGGAAAACAAATCTCAGCTGTCTACACTGGCCATTTTGCGCAAAAGTTTTGTGCAAAAGGGACTTTTGCCTGAACGGGAGCAGCATAGTATTTCCGCAAAAAGCACTGATTTCTTACAGTAGGAAGTCAGTGCTTTTGCGGAAATTCAAGGGGCCAGTGTAGGCAGCTGGCAAGTTTTTCCGGAAAAGCGACTGATTTTCCGGAAAAACTGGCCAGGCTAGACACAGCCTACAGGTAAAGGCAAAGGAACAAGCCTTACTGCATACTTCACATTTCAAATGCTTTTGTCATTTTTCTTTCTTTTTCTATGTCTTTAAAACGTGCTTTAGAAAACTTTGATGGTGGTTATTACAATGGAGGCTGCCAACAATAAGGTGTTATGAATCCTCACAGCACACTGAACTCCTGTAACCGTCAGTGAAAATTTCAGGAGAGACAGTGTGTCCTACTGGATAAAGCATTGTACTGCCTTGGACTCAGGGGACCTGGGTGCTACTCCCAGTTTTGCCTCTGGACTGCCAGGTGAGCTTGGAAAGTCCCTTCATCACCCCGGACCTCAGTTTCCCCATCTGTAAAATAGGGATAATACTGACTTCTTGTGTAACACAAGATTTGAGAGTTGCAGAGAAGAGCTCTGTAGAAGAGCAGGTGTTATTCTTTTATGTATTAACATCTTATCTGTTGTTGGGCCATACCCCAGCTTTATCCACACAGCCTGCCCAAGAAGAGAGCTGGGTGCATGCAGAGCCTGGAGGCAGGGCCGAACCCTTCAGTGGGCTGTGACCCTGGCAGGAGTGACAAAGTCAGTATATATTTCTGTTAGTCTCTAAGGTGCCACAGGACTACTCCTTGTTTTTAAAGCCAGTACGGCTGTGACCATTCCCCTCTGCTGCCTCCAGATGGCACTGTCAGCCTGCTTTCTACGCATTCCTCTACCACCAAGGCTATGCCTAGACTGGCATGATTTTCCGGAAATGCTTTTAATGGAAAAGTTTTCCGTTAAAAGCATTTTCGGAACAGAGCATCTAGATTGGCACAGACGCTTTTCCGCAAAAGCACTTTTTGCGGAAAACCATCCGTGCCAATCTAGACACGCTTTTCTGTAAAAAAGCCCCGATCGCCATTTTCGCGATCAGGGCTTTTTTGAGGGAAACAAATCTGAGCTGTCTACACTGGCCCTTTTGCGCAAAAGTTTTGCGCAAAAGGGACTTTTGCCCGAACGGGAGCAGCATAGTATTTCTGCAAGAACACTGACAGTCTTACATGAGATCGTCAGTGCTTTTGCGGAAATTCAAGCGGCCAGTGTAGACAGCTGGCAAGTTTTTCTGGAAAAGTGGCTGATTTTCCGGAAAAACTGGCCAGTCTAGACACAGTGCCAAGCTGGCTCCAGGTTCCAGCCCAACCCGCCAAAGCTAGGGACGGGCCTGCGGCACGGAGCTGGGTCTGACCCCCAGGAGGTCAGTGCTCTCTGACACATGGCTTGGTTTCAGCCCATTATAGAAAGAGGGAGCACCCCTAATAATTGGATCTGGATCCTGCCCAGGTCTGGAACTCCAGACTTGCGGGGCTTTGCTGCCAGCTGTGCTTTGAACTAGGCGAGGTGGGTCCAACAAGAAGGAAATTATATGAACGTCTAACTGCCTGGCAGCAAAATTCCAGCTCACATACTGGTAATAACCAGGCAATGGAGTATCTCCACATTACAAAGCTGGCCAGTTACAAAGCTTCTAGGAGCCCCAGTAATAAGTGACACAATCACATCACTTGCTTCTGGCCTTGGAATCTATGAAAGCGAAGGGCAGCTTATCCCACATCTGCCTACGTCAGGGCTCTTATGCCCTTTCTTCTGCTGTCAGAGACATGGGCCTGAGTCAATGGCTCTGGGTCTGCAGCCGTCTAGCAGTCCCTGTGTGCTGAAATCAAACACTGATCCAGGAAATGTTGCCGAGTCCTCCTTTATTCCATTACACTGAGCACTATTTCCATATAGAATGTATCTGTGTAACCACATGGGCAGTACCAAGAGACCAGTCTCCTTGCTTCCAGAGCCATGCATGACTCTTCAGGACTTGGAAGCGTTTGCATAAGATGTATTTATTTGTTCAAAGAGCAGACGGAAGAGCTTCTCCCAAGCGCTGGACACCTCGCTGCTGAATTCATTTCCCATGAGCTCTTTGCAAACACTCAGGATCACCTGAAACATGCTCTGGCGAAGGAACGGAGAGCGAGTGAGGCCCTAACCATATTAAGCTTAAAGTTGGTCAATTCTTCAGCTAGAAAGGAACCAGCTCTCAGCAGCGTGGTTACCCTGGAATGAGTGGCAGAATCATCTGACATCCCTTTGGAGTAGGACCCCAAATGGGGTGCCCGAGGTGTCTCCGCCTCTAGAGCAGCCTCCTCTTACCTACCTGCTTGGGTCACAGCATTGCATTTGTGTGGCTTTTATACGAGTGCGCAGACGTTATCTCAGATGCTGAGGATTGTCCTGGGCTCCCTGCCTTAGAAAGCGGGTTCCTATGGGTAGGGCACTTGGAGCGAGGGTTAGGCTTCCTATGGTTAGTGTTCCCTGCCCTTGGGTTAGGGTTCTTATGGGTAGGGTACCTGGAGCTAGGATTAGAGTTCCTATGAGTAGAGTGCTCGGAGCAAAGGTTGGGGTTCCTATGGGTAGGGTTACCCACCCTAGGATTAGGGTTATTATGGGTAGGGCACCTGCGGGTAGGCTTGGGGTTCCTCTGGGCAAGGTTCCCTGCCCTAGGGTTAGGGTTGCCATGAGTAGGGTATTAGAAGCGAGGATACTTGAAGATACTACACTCCCTGCCGCTTTACTAGCCCTCGACAGCTCCCTGTGAGATACTCAGGTGTGTACCATGCAATTACACAGGAGTGGGGAGGTAGCCACAGCCAGGAACAGGAGTGGAGGCATACATGAGATGTTCTCTCTACTGAGACACTGGCCATTCTATGAAAACATCTGAAAAACCACCAGTGGAGGTGGAACCTCATTATGTCCTGCCCATATTTTTGCATCTGTTGCCTGTAACTGTCCTGATGGGCTGTTTGCTCCCCGCTCAGCATCCTCATGGATGTTATCTAGGGCTGATCCCTGCAGGACTCACAAGGCGTCTCCCCCAAAGCTGCATCGTCTCAATGATTGTTCCCTCTCGTTTAGGCTTCTGGAGTCAGGGGTCAAGCCAAGCGTCAGTGTCTGCTTGTAAACCCATTTAAGTGCATTTTTTTCTGGCATTTTTTTCAGGAGAAATTAAATCAAATACTTTGTAAAGACTTGGTAATGAGAGGAGGGATGATGTGGGTATGGATCTGGCTGCAGATTCGGAGATCTGAGTCAGTTCCCAACTCTGCCACAGATTCCTGGTGTTATTTGGGGAAAGTCACTTACTCATCTCAGTACCCTATCTGTAACACAGGGATTGTCCCTTCTTTTTCTACCGTGTGTGTGTGTGGACTGTCAGCTCTTTGTGGTGAAGACTGTCCTGTACACAACACAGCACAATAAGGCTCTGATCTTGGTTGAGGCCTCTAGGGGTTATTGCAATAAACTGCGATCTCGTTTTCCACACATTTGATCACACAACCAATTGCACTTGCACGGCATGGGTGCTTTACTAACTCTAATGCTTATGGTCCATGCCTATACTAACCTCTTGCTTTCTGACAAGCGTGTCACAATGTGTGGCTGTGTCTAGACTGGCCAGTTTTTCTGGAAAATCAGCCGCTTTTCCGGAAAAACTTGCCAGCTGTCTACACTGGCCGCTTGAATTTCCACAAAAGCACTGACAATCTCATGTAAGATTGTCAATGTTCTTGCGGAAATACTATGTTGATCCTGTTCGGGCAAAAGTTCTTTTGTGCAAAACTTTTGTGCAAAAGTGCCAGTGTAGTCAGCTGAGATTTGTTTTCCGCAAAAAAGCCCCGATCGCGAAAATGGCGATCAGAGCTTTTTTGTGGAAAAGCGTGTCTAGATTGGCCCGGACGCTTTTCCGCAAAAAGCGCTTTTGCGGGAAAGCGTCTGTGCCAATTTAGACGCTCTGTTCCGAAAATACTTTTAATGGAAAACTTTTCCATTAAAAGCATTTCCGGTAAATCATGGCAGTCTAGACACAGCCTGTGAGTATGAATAGCTAGGTCTCTGGGATATTGACCTTTCCCCTCTGTGACTGAACAAATAGCTGTAATCTCTAAATGAAGTATGTGCTCTTGATCGCTGCATACATCCATACCTGGAAATTCGCTGCTGGGACGTGGTGCGTATTCTTGTGCTTCTCTGCTACATGCTCCAGAATCCTGCAGGCCTGTTTCCAGTTGTCGAGGTTTTCAATCACCTGGTTGAGAGCAACCATGACTCTCCGCCCATGGTAACGTATCTGCGGGTCCTCCTGCAGGTTGCCTTCAGTCGGGATGCTCTTGAAGTATGCTTTTGTCTCAGGATAATCTTTGAAGAGTCTGTATTGGGAAGAAGGAAGAGGGACTGAAAATCACAAATTAGAAAAGCAAGACTGCTGTGCTTTTACAGTGGCTTTAAGAGAGCGAATAGAATCTCCAGACTGCGAGATGATGGTAGGAGGAAGGCTTTAGGTTGGACTGACAAATTGACCTGAGTTAAGATGCTCTGTCTACATATTAACTAGATAGCTAATAAAGACCACTGTTAAATTACTAGCAATGAATTATTATCATTAAGATGAGTGGATTACTTGCATATAAAACACCATATGGGGCCAAGATCGAAGGAAGTGATAAAAAGAACTAGAAAAAGTTCAAAACAAAACCTGACGTAATGGGTCTGGCCCACGAAAGCTCATCATCTAATAAACCATCTTGTTAGTCTTTAAAGTGCTACATTGTCCTGCATTTTGCTTCAACTACCCCAGACTAACACGGCTACATTTCTATCACTATTCCTGACGTAATAGTTACTCAGCAGTGAAAAACAAGTTTGAATGAAATAAGATGGATCAATTAAGAGTTCCTACTTTTCTAAAAATGATACAAAATGCTGAAAAGGTTTAAACAAGAATTTATTTCTTTTTGAAGGCATGGGGATCTACTTATAAGACACAAATTTGTCATCTCTTTAATATTTAGGAACTGAAGCGATTTCATTATCTAATTCATTTGAGCTTAATGTTAGAGGAAAAAGCTGTGTATGAGTTTGTCTTGGAAAAAATGAGACATATTGTTTACAAAACAAGAAATGAAACATTTTGAAAGATTTCAGTGTCATTCAAGAAATCAAATGGAGAAAGATTTTTTAATAATTTTCAGAAGATCTAAAGATACAAAATTAGACGTGTCATTTCCAAAATCAATCTGAGTCGATGACGAGAGATCAAATTGTTAAGGGTATACAAGATAATAGTATAAGAAAAAGACTGTGAGAAGAGTCAGACCTAAATCCGGAAAAAGGAGCCAGTGAAATACATGTCAAGAAAACCTCTCTTGCTATATGTGACTGTTCAGCAATATGTTCTCTCCCATTTAAAGATGATACATGTAGGGGAAGGAGCACGCAGGGTCATGTATTCACCCTACTCCAATTTCTACCAGGCCTTGCTGGCCTTGTTTGGTCACAAGGACCTGGTCTAAACTAGGACTTTACACCAAATTTAGCTGTCTATGGTCAATTTTCTAAGTGATATATCCATACTGCCAAACCTGTTGCACTGCCCTTAGGGGTAGCTGAAGTCAATTCCTGTATGCCTGCTTTTCACCAGGAGTAACGCTATTCCTGACTTTGCCTGGACAAAGTGACACTAATGTAGATGCAGCGTTGCTGGAAATTCAACATTTTTGGCCTCTTGGAGGCTTCCTGCAGCTATCTGCTCTGATGGCTTTAGCCAGCACTTCCGCCTTTACTGCTCTCCCATTGAGCTCAAAAAGCCCCGAGAAGCTCTTACCATTTAGGACAGTGGTTCCCAAACTTTTTGGCATCATGCCCCCCTTTTTGATTTTTGAAAAACCCTCATGCCCCTCTGCCATAATAGCAGCAAAACTTGAGCAAAAAAAAAAAAAAGGAACTGAACAGGGCAGCAAAACTCGCCTTGCACTCCCCTGGAATTTCTTCATGCCCCCTCTGGGTACGCCCCCCAGTTTGGGAACCTATGATTTAGGAGGAGTTCTTGAACAAACAGACGGACAGACAACTCTCTCACATATATTGTAGATTTTACACTAAGGTTTGAATTAAAATGACAGCAGGAACTTTAAACCCAGATAAGCAGGAAGCCCTTGAATGTCATGACTTACCTGATGACAATTATTTTGCCATTCTCTTCTGGATTCTCAAATAACTTTGACCAGATGTGGTGGATACTCTTCTTATCAGCATCAGTTAACAAAGCCATGATGCCTGAATGATGCTTCCTGGTGAGGTGACAAGGCAGCAAAGCTAGATTACAATTTGCAGACATAGCTTTTGAAGGAAGCCAAGTATTTTAGATGAGATTACCAAGAACAGGCATAAATGGTCCATATGAAACCACTCCGTAGACAGGAGTACATACAGAGCTTACTTTCATTGTGTACTTCGGAGAGTCAGAGAGAGATGTGGGGTTCACCTCCATACAGAAAGTGCAGACAGAGAACCAAATAAAAAAGTATAAGAAAAGCCAAAAGAGCCATTCCAGCGCAATGTATCAGAGATGTACAATAAAATACAATAATAATAATAACCTCTCAAATACTGTGTTTTTGAATAATTATAATTTGACCATAAAACCCATTGTTGATATCACTGTTATCTAATTGCAAAAAATCGTATGCCAAGTAGGAGACGTGGCCAGAAAGAGTTACATATTCCTCACACAAAACAGGACTATGTAGCACTTTAAAGACTAACAAGATGGTTTATTAGCTTTCGTGGGCCAGACCCACTTCCTCAGATCAAATAGTGGAAGAAAATTAGCACAACCATATATACCAACATATGTGTTCATTTTTTTGATTGTATCCTTTGGTATATATGGTTGTGCCAATTTTCTTCCACTATTTGATCTGAGGAAATGGGTCTGGCCCACGAAAGCTCATCACCTAATAAACCATCTTGTTAGTCTTTAAAGTGCTACATAGTCCTGTCTTTTGTTTCAGCTACACCAGACTAACACGGCTACATTTCTATCAATATTCCTCACACTAAACTGACCCAGAGTCAACCAGCAGAGACAAGTCAGAAACATATGTAAATGGGAATTAGGGTCCTTCAAGGCTAGTTAGGCTAGAACTTTGAAATGCAACCCTGTATTGTTAGAATTTAGAAGTGATACTAATTGTATGTGTTTACTTATATCTTGTTAGATGTTAGCCATGTAAACAGACAGTTCCTGTCTATTACTATCGCTGTTGATTCAGAGATCAAAGGGAATATTAACATTTAAATGGATCTTGGGTGAAATAATTGCATTGCCTATATGGCTCTTTAAAGTTTGGGATAAATGGTTTAATGGGTACATTACTTTATGTGAATTTCCATGATGTTTTGGGGAACAGCAGGTTACATCAAAAGCCTATTGTTAATCCAAGACCGAATGGTCAAGAGGCTGCTTGAAATCTATATTAAACCCCTTGGGTCTGATCCTTTTTATCTTAGGTCTGCTTAAGGTTTCATGCAGGGAAAGACTAATCCCTAAGGTTTGAGATTCCCATCATAAGATGGTACACCCTGAATGTGAGGCTTCTGGGGGTAGCCGAGTTAGTCTGTACGGAATAAACTTAAAAAACAACAAATGGTCTAGGAGCACTTTATAGACTAACAAAACATGTAGATGGGATCATGAGCTTTTGAAGAACTGGGCTATGCCCACGAAAGCTCATTATACCATCGACATGTTTTGTTGGTCCATAAAGTGCTACCAGACTATTTATTGTTTTTTAAGTTTATCCTGACTATGAGGTTCAGCATTGGTCTAGCTTCTGAACTAAATTCATAAAGAACTTTTTTGCAGCTACAAAGTTCTCCATCTCTACTATGAATCTGCTATTAGAACTGTATTCATGCCTCTACCAATATTCTCTCTTTTTTATTCTTTAATAAATGTTAGTTTAGTTAATAAGAATTGGCTATAAACATGTATTTGGAATAAGATCTGAAATAGTCATTGGCATGCGAGGTAATATGTCTGACCCTTTGGGACTAGTAGAACTTTATTTGACCTGGGTGTCTGGGTGGAAGCCCAAGACTGGGTTGCTTTAAAGGGACTGTGTGGTTGGCTTCTGGTATCCAGAAAAGTATCATTGAGGCTGTTTTGTGTTGGCTTGGTAAATCTAAGTATTGGAATAGCCATCAACTTTGGGGATTGGCTGTCCCATTCATTGCAGTTCACCCTAACTGAGTGACCTCATCTGGCTCCTTCCTGGTTACCAGATGCCCAATCAGAAGGATCCATCAAAAATGGCCTCTTTATGGCTCAGTGCTGTAATGTGCTTGAACAGTGCAGGTGGTGAGCTCCAGTTCACACCATTCCCAGTGTTCTCAGGTGGGTCTTGGAAACACCCCCCCAGGTCAGGCTGGTCCTGTCTGTGCACTGCTCTTTAACGCACTGTGACACCGAGCATCTGGCCAATCTTAAATCCCCACTGCATCATGGGAAATCAGCCAAAATGGAGGAGGAAGCATCAGAACTCAGGGGAACATTTCCAAGTGCTGCTGCATCAGGAGGGGGTGGAAGGGAAGCTGCCTGCTTCCCAGAAGATCATTCCCTCTGCATAGAAGGGGAGAGCTCCCAAATCCCACGCAGGATGTAACTTCCCACTTGTGCTTGGAGACGAGTTCTAACACGGGGAGGATTAACAGGCTTCTGAGACTCCCTCTGGTCCCCGGGCTAGGGAATTCTATCAAGAAAGTTGCGGTTTTACTGTGTCTGTGCATGCACTGAGCTCTGAGCCCCTCAAATCCTCCTGCAGGGCCAAATGCTCCCTGTCTCTCTTCACCCCAGGGGCAGAGCCACTGATCCATGGCTCACCCACTTAGCATCCAGGCCCACTGAGATCGGGGCCAGAGCTCCCTAAACCCATAGGCTGGGACTCCCAACCCCAGCTCGGAGTCTGTCAGCCCAGCTGCCTGGCTACGTAAGAACATCAGAACAGCCACACTGGGTCAGACCAAAGGTCCATGTAGCCCAGTATCATTTCTTCTGACCGTGGCCAGTGCTGGGTGTCCCAGAGGGAAAGGACAGAACAGGTGACCATCCAGTGATCCTGTGCATTGCTGCCCCAGTTTCTGGCCCCAGTGCTAGCTCTGCAGGGGGGGTGCCTTGCAGGGGCAGGTCTGGGCAGGGCTACCGCTGGGACAGGAACCTAGAGCAGCAGCACACGATGTGGTCAGACTGACCCGCCCCCCTCCCCAGAGCAGCGGATCCCTTCTGCACTCCCTCCCCAGGTCCCTCCATCCCTTCTGCCCCCCCCATGCCTGCCCATCTGAAAGCTGAGGCCCACCCCATTTCCTGTCCTAGCTATGCCTCTGCTTCACACATCTCCCTCCCAGGCCTGAGTAGCTGGGCTAGGCAGTGGGGAACCAGAGGGACAGAGGAGAAGGAATCCTCCCCTCCCAGCTGCAGTGACAGCTGCAGGCCCTGTGATAGTAATAGTCCTTGTGTGGCCCTTCTCCATGGCAACCAATGTCTGATGGGACAATAGACCCTGTCTGGCCCACCGCCAGTCCCTGCTGTGCAGTGGTGCCTGGGAGGCTCCACATAGGGCAGGCCAGCAGCAGGCCCTCTGCAGGTGCAGAGGAGGGGGTAGGATTTGGCCGCAGTGTCGTTTTAGGGCATACACATGCCAGGTACCTCAGCGCTGGAGTCCTGTAGCGGGTGCAGCTGAAAGGGAACTGCAACACAAAAAGCGAGACCACTAGTGAGCTTATTGAGAAGCCACTCAGGTCAAATGAGTGGAGATTTAAACCCTTGTGCCTAGGAGCATGGGGTGGGGCGGTATCATCTGCACGTCCCTCCCTTCACCTCAGAACACGCCAGCAAGAGCAGGGGGCTGCCCTGCTGGCTCAGGGAGGCTGTGTGGCACCCAGCTCTGGTCACTTCAACACAGCCCCGGGGCCCACACTGAGAGTGGGGCCCACACTGACTGACTGGGGGGCTGCTGAGGCTGCTGAGATCCAGACTTGGGGTAGGGGGCTGCTTCTATGGAGTGGAGACCCCTTGCTCGGCCTAGCTACCCAGCTGCCATTCGAGAAGCTACTGGGGCTGAGCTCGACCCTCCCAACCAAGAAGCTCCATGATGTTAAACATCAGCCCCATAGAAAAGGGAACTGAAGACTTGGAGCCGGGGCAGGCTGCTCCCTCATACTCTGCCCTGTTTCCAGGGCCTCTCACCACACCTCCAACGGACAGGGCTCCCCAGCCTTGGGAGCTCCTGGCATGGAATTCTGGGGGTGACAGTTGGGGGAGGGATGGGACAAGGTGTGATGGGGTGGACTAAATCCCAGAGACCCCTTGCTGGAGGCCTCACTGTTCTGAAACACTCATCCCAGGAAAGGAGCAGTAGACAAGTCCTCCAAGCAGCAGAGGGTGACGAAAGGGAAAGCAACCTATCAGGGCCTTGGAGGGCCATATAAAAACGAGCAGCAGGGCCAGAGACAGTCAGTTTCTTTCTGGTGCCAGAGTGGTGCATATAGTTAGGGACTTATCAAATTCATGGACACAGGATTTTAAAAGTTGTAAATGTCATGATTTCAGCTATTTAAATCTGACATTTCTTACTGTTGCAATTGTAGGGTTCCTGACCCATAAAGGTGCTGTGTGGGGGCCACAAGGGTACTGAAGGGATGGGGTTGTTGTCCTGATACCCTTACTTCTGCACTGCTGCTGGTGGTGTCACTGCCTTTAAACCTGGAGAGCTGGAGAGCGGCAGCTGCTGGCCAGGAGCCCAGCTCTGAAGGCAAAGCCCCCATTGGCAGCAGCGCAGAAGGATGGTATGGCATGGTATTGCCACCTTTACTTCTGTGCTGCTGCCTTCAGAGCTGAGCCCTCAATCAGCAGCTGCCAACTCTGAAGGCAGCTGCGCAGAAGTAAAGCTGGCATGGTATGGTATTGCCACCCTTATTTCTGCCTCACCTTCAGAACCAGGGAGCCAGCCAAACAACCACCCCTCTCTGGCCACACAGCCTTGAAAGCAGTGCAGAAGAAAGGGTGGCAGTACCGCAACCTGCCCACCCCCAATATCCTGGTGACTCCCCTTAACTCCCTTTTGAATCAGGACCCCCAAATTGAGGAACGTGGGTCTCCCCTGAAAAATCTGTATAGGATAAGGTAAAAGCACACAAAAGATCAGATTTCACTGTTCACGATGCATTTTTCATGGTCGTGAATTTGGTAGGGTCCTACATATGGTGCTCCTGAAACTGCAGCACCACAGACAGCTCAGTGCTAGCAGGGACAGGAGCTGCAAGGTAGAGCTCCTGCCTGGCTGCCAAGTGGGGATTTAAGATAAGCCCTAAGGCAGTGGTCTCCAACCTTTTTACACTCAAGATCACTTTTTAAGTCTCAGAACAGGCGAAGATCTACCGCCCTGCCCCTTCCTTGAAGCCCCGCCCTCTCTATTCTCCTGTCCATCACTTGCTATCGCCAGTCCTTATACTCTCTGTTAAACAGTTTATTTTTAAATTATGCAATATATAAAATTAAAATCACGTTTATAGTTATGAAATAAATGGTCTGTTTTTAATTCATGCTATTTAAATGTCAAATGAAGCATTTACAATTATACATTTTGTTCTCTGCTATTTTGTAAATCTAAAAATCAAGTATTGATAATTGTATATTTTTTCTTCCAATAACAAAGTCTCAGTGTGACACCTGTGACTGAACAGTATCTGCCAGTGTCTTGAAGTCTGGGTTGTAGTCTGAGATTGCTAGTCGTATACAGTCCATCAGATGGGCATCTGTGATCCTGCGCTCAGCCTGGGAAGCTTGCTCCAGCACAGCTGGAGCTAGATGCAGCCTCCCTGGGCTGAGCGCAGGGCAGAGGGGGGCGGGCCAGCCAGACTGGGGGGAAGAGAAGTGGCTGCTCGGCCAGCTGGCCATGGCACTTAGCCAGGGTGCACCAAGCTCCACATGGGCAGGCACAGAGGAGAAGCCACCGATCAGCTGGAGCGCAGGGCAGCCTCTTTCAGCTGAAAGCCACAGTCAGCTTGCTGGGGTGTTTCAGCCCTCCCGACCTCACAGCTCCCACCATTCCTCGCAGCTACTCATCTGTGTTGTTGCTCGGTGAGTAGCTGCTCCTCAAATGAGGAAATCTAATGTAAATATACTGCGCAGGCGCACAGTTCAGAGAGGGCTCAAGAGCTACTCTTAGAGCCCCTGAGATCTACCGGTAGATCACAATCTACTGGTTGGTGACCAGGGCCCTAAGGTAGGGGTGAAGCTTTGGTGAAGGCTGGGTCTGTGGGACATGCCCCAGGGAACTGAAAGCAGTGTAGTGTAAGGGATGCAATGGCATGTGACTGCCAGTGTTCCCTGTAAGCTGTGTGCTTAGGCGGTTACTCAGGAGAGATTGAAATGCCACCCAGCTGATTAGCAGAGTGCCTACAATGAGGTTTTTTGTTTCTACTGGTGGTGCACATTTGCACATGCCTCAGTGCACATACAAAAATGCATTCTGCACATGGATGGAAAAGATTAGAGAAAACACTGGTGGTTGCTATTTGTAGGGTCACTAGGCTGGGACCTAATGTAGTGGGGGGGCCTAGTACCCCCACCCCCTCCGCACTGCCCCATAGGCCACTGAAGAAGTGGCCTGTAAGTGGACAGAGATAAGCCCTCAGAAGTGGATCTGTACTGTTAAGAGGCCGATCTGAGACCAGAATAGACCAAAAGAATAAAATCATTACTGCCTGGGGGAACAGCCCAGTGTCAGAGCTGAAGACTGCAGACACACCTGGCCGGAAGGGGTGCTTGGGAGCCATCCCACCCGGCCATACTGTAGGACATTTAGAAACCTTCAATTCTGGGTTGTACCTTGAGGTGTTGGGGCTGCTGCAGATATTGCTGCAGGGTCCTGTGGTGTTGGAGAGCATACCTGAGCAACACCCTGATAGTCCAGTAGGGTGACCAGAGGGAACAGGTAGGCCATGCGCTCATACCTGATGACACCAGGCAGGAGATGGCTGGAGTTTAGTGTTTTTCATGAGACTGTTACATATGTCCATATTTCTGGCCTTTTAACAAAGTGGATTTTGACTCTCTAAACCCCAGTCATTTAGGCTCTCATGACAGTATGTAAAGTACCTTGTTCTGCCACAGTCAAGGACAAGGGTAATCCAGTAATTCACATGTACATTTCTGAAGGTCCAGTCATAAAAAACGAGGGCTACACTGGTACTAAAATCCCAGCCGTTGTGCTTGGGGTGCCCAGGCTATGCTTTGGTTTTTCTGGGTGTTTCAGACAAGGATGGAGGTAAAGCAGCACAGCACAGATGTCTTGCCAGAGAGCCGTCTCCTTCCACCTCCTGTTGCTGCAGCAATCTGAGGATCTCCATTATTGAGTGTGTGACGGGGTGTACCAACACCGCACTAGGCCAGTAGGGGTTAACTACAACTACCTGTCTGAGAAAGCCCCACCCTCACAGCCCTGCTGGGCATGCTCCAACTGGAGAACCAGTATAAAGGCCAGTGGAGCAGCTCTGACTCCCAGTCTGGAGGAGGCAAGTGAGGAAGATGCTGACTGCCGAGAGGTGGATAGGAAGTAGTCCAGGGTGGGAAGTTGGAGCCCTGAGAGCTCAGTGTGTTGTGGGGTGGGTGAATCCGTGCTGGGCTAATGGTGGGACACATTCACCACCGACGGGGCCCTGGGTTGGGACCCGATGGAGAGGGAGGGCCTGAGCCCTCCTACCCGCACCCCCATTAAACCCCAAGGGGGAACTACTGTTGTTGCTACTGACTTTGGCCACCAGGCCGTATTGCCCTGCGAACAGGGATTGGCTATTGACTCAGGTCACTAGACCCTATTACCCTGTGGACTGGGGTTGCTCTTGACTAGGGCCACTAGGCCTTACTACCCTGTGAACAGGGATTTGTTATTGACTTGGGCGACTGGGCCCTATTGCCCTGTGGACAAGGGTTGCTATTGACTCAAGCCACTGGGCCCTACTGCCCCACGAACCGGGGATGGCTACTGACTTTTGCTGCTAGGCTGGACTCTTATATGGGAAAAGGGGGTAGTGCGAAGCCTAGGGGTACTTGTGGCTGTAACACTCATGGGATGGAGCACATGCTGAGGGGCCTGACAGGCTCAATGCCCTGCCTCTGAGGCGGCTGGGAGTACTCACCCTGTGACAGGCGGGAAGGAAAAAACATATCTGTGGAGGCAAACTTGCCACCTTGGAGGAGTTAATTTAAATCCTGTATAGGCTCCTCTCAGAGGTATCTGATGCCACTGCCTTAGGGCACGTCCACACTACAGCGTTATTTCAGAATAACTGACATTATTTCGAAATAACCAAGTGCCTGTCTACACAGCAAGCTGCTCTTTCAAAATAATGTCGAGCTGGGGGCTGTCTTACTCCAACTCCTGTAACCCTCATTTCACGAGGAGTAAGGGAAGTCAGAGGAAGAGTGTTTTTCCTTCAACTTCCTGCTGTGTAGACAGCCCCAAAAGCCGAATTAAGCTATTTCTTCTTAAGCCACGCAATTGACGTCGCTCAAGTTGCGTAGCTTAATTTGACTTTTTGCCCTGCAGTGTAGACATGCTCTTAGTGATTTATGTATATTATTTTTCAGAATTTAGCTTCAATAAATAATCCTAGCTTCTCGCCAGCTATAGTTCATATTTTGTTAAAAAAAAGTTCTTTCAAGAGTAAGGTTCTGTCTGTTCAGCTTCAACTCTAAAATGGTTCCCCCCCTTTCTTTGAACTCCTGTTTCAATACCTGAAAAAAAAAATCCTTAAGTAGAAACTGCACAGCAGCAATTCAGTCCTAACAAAGCACAACACCTGCATCAGTCAGTTATCGGGGCATCTGCAGTATAGTGTCCATGGTGCATTTGGTTGTTGGTTTTTTTAGTGTTGCACCTAGTGTTAGGGGGAAGTCCGAGTTCCAGTGAAGTCGATGGAAAACTCCCATTGACTTCACAGGGGCCAGAATTTCACGCTTTTAGTGAACTTTTAAAACTATTGCTGCAATTCTCCATAGAACCACAAGAGGCGGTATCTGCTGTTGGTTTCTTTGTTTACACTGACCTCTACTCACAAGAAGCACAGTATAGGCCTGACAAAGGCAATGCAAGTTTCCCACACTTCCTCCAAGGGCTTAGCCCTGATCCGGGGGATCCTCTCTAGGCAGGTGAGGATACTTCGATTTCCCTTGTCCAGCCTGAGCCTTTCTACTGAGATTGCCAGTTAGAGCCAATGGCAATTGGAGGCTTTGTATATTCCTTCCACTGAAGGGGGGAAAATCCACCTAGAAAATTCCTCCTTTCCTCCTCTGACGGAAAGCAACCAGTAAGCCTATGAGTTTAACGTGTGACCTGTTTATTAATATTAAACTGCAGTTTTTAGGAACAGTCATGAACAAAATAAAAAATTGAGAAAGGTACTGAACCAGCATTTGATATTTACTCTGAAATATTATTTTCATATTGGCCTTAGAAACGAACTCAAGATGAAAGAGGAAACAACCCATCAAACTGCAGAGGGAAATCCCTTCCAGATTGCACAGCGACAAGGCAGGTAAAGAAATATCTGTTATGGGACCAATTTCTGTTAGTGAGAGACACATTTTTGAGCATATTCAGAGATCTTCCTCAGGTCTGGGAAACTCAGGTGAAGTCTAAAGTACACATTTACTTTGAGTAGTCCTGTGGCATCTTAAGGCACATCTACGCAGCAGGACAAAGGTTGAATTAAGCTATACAACTTCAGCTACGTCAAATGCGTAGCTGAAGTCGAAATAGCATAATTCGGCTTTTGATGCTGTCTATACAGCAGGAAATCAGAGGAAGAATATTCTTCCGTCAACTTCCCTTACTCCTCATGAAATGAGGGTTACAGGTGATGGAGTAAGAAGTCCTCCAGCTCGACATTATGTCGAAATAATGGCTTGCTGTGTAGACATGCTCTTTGTTATTTTGGAATAACGTCAATTATTATATATAGTTGCTAACATGCCACAGGACTACTCATTTTTAAAGCTTCAGGGGGTAGCCGAGTTAGTCTGTACAGGATAAAAAACAGGACTATGTAGCATTTTAAAGATTAACAAGGTGGTTTATTAGGTGATGAGCTTTCGTGGGCCAGACCCACGTGGCCCACGAAAGCTCATCACCTAATAAACCATCTTGTTAGTCTTTAAAGTGCTACATAGTCCTGTTTTTTGTTTCAGCTAGACCAGACTAACACGGCTACATTTCTATCACTATTCTGTACAGGATAAACATGAAAAACAACAAATGGTCTGGTAGCACTTTATAGACTAACAAAATATGAGCTTTCGTGGGCACAGCTCACTTCAGTTTTGAGTTTAGGATGTGCAGACCCAAAATAAATAGAGGTAAAGGGAATAAAAGGAAGGGGGTGGGAAACAAGGAGCAGAAGGTATGAAAATATCAAAGGGAAAAACAAATAGGCAGAACTGATAACCATGGCTACACCTCTGAGACACTTACTTTGGTATACCTTGCTCAGGGGAAAAATCTACACTTCTGAGAGCCATAGTTACATGGCCCTTTAACCCCTAGTGCAGAAACTGCAATGAGGCAGGGGTGGAGACAAAGTCAATGGGAGACTTCTCTACCATAGGCAAATATCTGCACCAGAAGTGGCACAGTAGCACAGCTGCTCTGATGCAAGTCTGTTGTGTGTAGACCTGCCGTCAAAGTGTCCCTGCTAGTTACAAACCAGAACGGATTGTTTAACATAAGTAGTTTGCACATAATTCAAAGGAATATTCAAGTGAAGCGGCCCATTCACACCTCTCCAGTCACAGCTGTGGGCAGCTGCGTTAGTCTTTCGGAATAGTGAGTTATTTTGAAATTTGGTGCGGTGTGAACAGCGCCAAATTACAAAATAACCTATTTCAAAATACATTCGAAATAAGCCACACAATTTGCATAGTGCAAATTGTGTAGCTTATTCAAACTAAGGATGCTGTGTGGATGCACCCTTAAAACCGAACAATATATATAAAGCATCATGAGCTTTCGTGGGTAAATCCTATTTCATCAGATAAGCACTCTGAAGGAGTGGGTTTTGCTTAGGAAAGCTCATGATGCTATATATATACATTTTTTTAGTCTCTAAGGTGCCACAGGGCTCCTAGATTTTAAAGTTACAAAGTAACCTGGCTACTCCTCTGAGAATTTATCTAGCTACGTCAAACCAGCAAGACAAAAGATGTGCCTTTGTAGTTCTCCACCAGGAGGACTATAAAAACAACAAATAGTTCTGCAGCACCTTAGAGACTTACAAAAATGTAGATGGCATCATGAGCTTTCGTGGGCACAACCCTTTTTTTAACTTTTAGGGTACGTCTAAACTACATGGCTCCGTCGACGGAGCCATGTAGTTTAGACGTACCCTAAAAGTTAAAAAAAGGGTTGTGCCCACGAAAGCTCATGATGCCATCTACATTTTTGTAAGTCTCTAAGGTGCTGCAGAACTATTTGTTGTTTTTATAGTCCTCCTGGTGGAGAACTACAAAGGCACATCTTTTGTCTTGCTGGTTTGACGTAGCTAGATAAATTCTCAGAGGAGTAGCCAGGTTACTTTGTAACTTTAAAATCTAGGAGCCCTGTGGCACCTTAGAGACTAAAAAAATGTATATATATAGCATCATGAGCTTTCCTAAGCAAAACCCACTCCTTCAGAGTGCTTATCTGATGAAATAGGATTTACCCACGAAAGCTCATGATGCTTTATATATATTGTTCGGTTTTAAGGGTGCATCCACACAGCATCCTTAGTTTGAATAAGCTACACAATTTGCACTATGCAAATTGTGTGGCTTATTTCGAATGTATTTTGAAATAGGTTATTTTGTAATTTGGCGCTGTTCACACCGCACCAAATTTCAAAATAACTCACTATTCCGAAATGCCCCTTAACCCTCGTGGAAGGAGGGTTATCGGGACGTCAGCACAAGACGCCTGTTATTTTGAAATAATGGGCTGCTTCAATAGATGCAGAATAGCTATTTTGAGATACTTCTGGTATCCCGAAATAGCACCACACTGTAGACGTACCCTAAGGTGCCAAAGGACTTCTGGTAGCTAGATGTCAGGGACTGTGTGGCTGTCCTTTTGGCTGTGGAGAGATTTTGGCAGATGTGATGTTTGCTAAGGATTTCAACACTTTCCTGAAGCAATACATGTAACGCTCAAGAGTGGTTTCCTCACCCTGCAGTGTCCGGTCAAAGGATTCCTTTTTCTTATGATTGTCAGTGGGGATGTGGTAATTGATGGGTGGTGGTATGAGACTTCTTTGAGGCAGAGATGATGGATGGATTCTTCTAGCTCTCCACATGCTAGTATCATGGGTGCCAAGTTTGTGGGTGCTCCGGGGAGCAGCCTTGGAGAATCATTACCCACCAGTAGCTAAGCTCCCTTCTCTCCCCTCAGAATCTCTCCCCTGTCCCATGCTGATCAACTCCTCTCCCTCTTGCCAGCTGTGGACAGCTGTTTCAAGGTGTGCAAGAGGCCGGGGGGAGGGGGAGAGGAGTGGGAATGAGGCATGCTCAGGAGAGGGGCAGAAAAGAGTAGGTCGGAATGGAAAGAGGTAGGGCAAGGGCTTGAGGGAAGGCGTGGAGTGGGGGCAGGACTAGGGCCAGAGGGGAGTCAAGTACCCCCTGAAAAGAGACTGTATGGGGCAGTCTTACGTACAGACAACTCCGCTCCAGTGAGGGGCAGTCACTATAAACTGCTTTTGTGTAGGGTTCATGTGGTGGGCACTGGTGCCAAGGTTTCTCCCAGAGGTCATGTTCTGTGGGTTGTGGAGTAGCTGCCGTTGGTTCCACCCCTTGCTTCTAATTGGATTGCAGCCATCAGCTTTTCTTTTCATCGTTTAGGATTTCTTGCATGACTTGCAGGTAACGTGCGTGTGCTGTGGTGTGTGGGGTGGCAAACCAGAGCTCTCAGGCCAGCCCACTGAACCATGGAGGCAACATAGCGTGAGGGTGCTAGGGCTTCCAGCTATAAGCGTCTTGTTCCTCCTCATGCTCTCTGGTCTCCTCTGAACTCAAAGGAGACAGTGCTCCAGCCGCACAAGCAATATAATCAGGAGCATGTGACTGTGTGTTCCCATTGTTGTTTCATCTCTCGCCACCTGCTTCTAGCAGTAACCAGCCAGAACCAGTCTCAGCGGGGTAGCTCTGCTAGTCTGTGTCTGCAAAACAACAAGGAATCCTGTGGCACCCTAAAGATTAACAGATTTATTTGGGCATAAGCTTTCACGAGTAAAAGCCACTTTGTCACATGCACTGGAGTGGAAATTACAGCCGCAGGGAAATGTAAATGTGCACTAGCATATCAAAAGCAGGGGCTCTCTCCAGAAGGTAACTTTTAAGTGTGCTTCTGTTGCCACTTCACCGCCTGCTTTGGTCATGTAAATTGCCAAGGATAAAAGGTTATGTCTGCTCCCTCTACCTGACTGCAGATGTAACAGAGGGGCATTCCCCCAGGACAGCACTGCTGTTGTCACAATACAAATGGCTGTGGACTGAAGAGACAGCAGGCTGTAGAAGAGGAAGTAGGCAATGCACATATCTTACTAAAGATCATCGTGGAAACAACAGACAAATTCCATGGTGTCAATAAACACCTGTTGCTCCTTCCTAAAACTGAACCACAGTGGAGAAGGCAGCAGATGTGACACATCCCAGGGGTACCGCAGGGTTGCGAGGCACCTCCCTGGCCCTACTACCTTAGAGTTAGGAATTCTTGTCTAGCCCGACACCTCCAGCGACGGGCCGCACCAGCACTACTCGTCAGACCTCTGCCAGCCCCGCTCTCTGTACTCAGTGGTCACCAACCAGTAGCTCGGGTTCTCCTTGGAGATCTTGGAGCCTCTGACAGGTGATCCTGACTGGCTGGCCAAGAGGCTATCAAGAGCTGGCATTTCAGTTGCCTCTCCCCCCACTGCAGTGCATCTCCTGTCCTTTGCCTTGGAACTGCCTCCCCCCACCATGGGGAGCGTCCTGCTTGCAGTTCAGAGCAGGGAAGGGAGAAGGGGGGGTGCTGATGTTAGGGTGCCCCTCTCCCACCCTATAGTCTGTCGTGAGGAGCACAACAGGGCTTGAGATGGAGGGAATTTGCTGGCCGCTTTTGAAAGTGGTGCAGGGCCAGGGCAGCCTGCCTCAGCACCATTGCACCATCAACCAGGAGCCACAAGAGGTAAGCAATGTCCAGATGGAGCCAGCTCAGAACCCCTGCTCCAGGCATGAACCTCCTTCTGCACCCCAGGCCCTGTCCTAGTCCTGAGCCCCCTGGATCCAAACTCTCTCACAGAGCCTGAACCCCCTTATGCACCCCAACTCCCTGCCCCAGGGTTAGCTCAGAGCCCCTCTCACACTCCAAATTCCTTAGCCCAAAACCAGAGCCTGTGCCCCAACTCTCTGCCCCTGGCCTGGTGAAAGGGAGGAGGATGGAGTGAGCAGGGGCAAGACCTTGGAAAAGAGGCACAAAGGAAGTGGGGCAAGGTTATTTGGGTTTGAGGTAGATCCTGGGTTGCACTTAAAT